TTACATTTTTTTTAATGTTGTGTACCTCAGTTACAGTGCTTCGTACCACAGAGGTAATTTCGCGTAGGGAAAGTGCTTAGTCATCAGTTTAGAAAACCCATGCCTACTATTTAATTGTGCGTTACGTTTTTCTGAAGCTCCATATGTCTTGTCTTTATCTGATTTAAAACAGATATAAACACTGGATGCAATGGCATAGTTTTTTTGTTGTTGTGTAAGTTATAGAAAGTTCATGCGTCGTGGTGGTACACCTGCTGTTGTAGCTTGGTGCTGTATGCAGTGTGGTGTCATGCAGGGGAAGTGCACAAGACACGAGGAGGTTATCTACCTCTGGTATCTGGACCATCGACTCCACCCTCTCTGGTTTTCTTATTCTAGACATCTAATGTTCTTATTCTAGACATCTAATGTTCTTATTCTAGGCATCTAATGTTCTTATTCTAGACATCTACAACATAAACCGTGGATCTTGGCCTCGGTATGGATTGTCATTTTTCCGTGAATTTTATGTAGATTCTTGTTTTTAATAAAGTTATTTGAAGTGACGTTTAGTTCGTAAAGAAAAGGGAGATAACTTTTTTTTTATCGAAGGGACGCTACTCGTTTTGTTTTATATTTGACAAAGTGCAAGCTCACGACCTTTCTTCTTGCGACGTTTTGAAGGAATTTACAGGTGTTTTTTTTTTTTTTTTTTTACTTTTGAGTACGTGTAAATATTTTTAGCAGATGGTGTAGCAGTGGGGAGGATGATTAGTGTACCCACACGGAACCAATCCTCTCATCTCCGTGAAGGGGAGCTAATTACCATCTCAGATACACAACTCTCGCTCCGGCTACCTGCGTATGGCAGGCACTTGAAGGATTTCGTTGCTCCATAGCTTTTAGTAGTGAGATTCTTCTGGCTTAAAAACGTAGCAAGGTGGTGTTGGAACTATGTTCTTATTTATATAATAGGCTTAGCTGTCGTGGTTTCGTAGTGGTGATGGACTGGAATTCAAACAATGGATTTAAAAATTGTGATAGGACATAGTGGTTTAGTTTATAGCTGATGTTTTAACGTAAGTTTATCAGATTTTGTATTTATTTATTATGTCGTGTTTAAGTAGTGGCCTAGCAATGAGGTTAATTCAAGTTGTGTTGTGTTTTAAGGTGTGTTTTTTTGTATTGGTAAATGACCCTTGTTTAGAAGTTATGATTTTGGATTGAGATGACCATTGTTATCGTAAGCGTGTGCGATTTGTTAGATGTCTATGCGTGATATTAGTGTGAGCATATTCTGTTGGGTGGGTGTGTTATGTGCGTGTGTGTAAAAGAGAGGGGAGGGGGGCGGCTTCACTATGCTATCACACAGGCGTGTTTAGTTTCAAGGTTAGTGAATTAAAACTCCCTTGATCACTTGATGTTTTTGTTTCCACGAGAAAACAAATGTAAATGAGCTAACGTGGTGCCTGGCTAATTATAATTGTAGTGAATGCATACACCTGTCGTCAGCTGTGCGTAGCAAACATGCAGGGCTTTGATCACAACACAGCGTAACGGGTTTTTGTATTTGTTTTTTTGTTTTTTTTTACTCAGGAATAACATTTCAACAGTGTTTAAAATCTGGTTGTCGCGAATAGTAGAGCAAAATCACCCTTTTAACAGTGATTATAAACTTATTGTAACCTATTCTAAAAGCAATTACAGCCATGTTATTTCAAGTTACTTAGGTAACTGGCCGACTCGCTTGTAAATAAAAATGTTGTTAGGGTAAAGGGGTAGTCAGTTAATGAAGTATCGAATCCATTAAAACCTCACCACCCTATCTTTTCAAGGTTATCAGAAACCCAAAACGTCAAGTTCCTCTAATCCCACCACCCCCACCCTTCCTCTTTCTGAATCTGAATAATAATTTTAACTAAACGTTTTAAAGAAAAAATCGTATACATCCCCCTCCCAAACCAAGAGGTGTGACGTCATTTATGGACGAGCCCCAATGTTATCTTTATGAATTAGCTGTGTGTTAATGTTAGATTACACGATGGCTGTAGTGGGGAGAAAAAAAACATCTGACTAGCCCTAGTCACTCGTGACGCTATCATCAGCGATCATCTTATGCGATTGCAGCCAAGTCCTACCTACCCTCACACCTTATCTTGACCGAGTGCCATGTTGATCTAAGGACTAATATAACAGTGACACGATAAATATGTGGATGTTTAAACCTCGGTCTACACGGCTTCCGCCGGCCACTCACGCGCACACGGTGGCTCCGTCGTGCACTGGCACTCCTGGATCCAGGTCATGGGAGTCATAGACTCAACCTTTAGTCATTTTTTGTGTCGGTGTGTCTTTGGAACATGATTTCTTACAGGCGTTTTGCAACCCCCTTTCCCCCCATCATAATAAATATTTCGTCCCGGGAAAAAAAAAAGGGGGGGGGGGGCGTGAAATGTCTGCAAGAACCACTGGTTGTATAAACTGTGAGTGCGTTTGTGTGTATGTACAATTTTTAAAAATCCGAAATTTGATTTACCTGCTGTTGCTCGGCGGATGAGTTTAAATGGAACAAAAAATTCTTCTGAATACATCTTTTTTTTAATACTATGTGTACAGTTCAACAAGAAACTGATTCTGGGCATGATTGGAGATATGAAGTAGAGTTAGACCGTTTCTGTGACTTCGACACATGAGGGAACATCGTGGTCAGCAGTTCTTTCAACAGCCGGCGTTTACTTTCACTATAGAGTTGGGTGGACTCAGAAACGTCCACTAGACTTCAGTTCGGTTTGCTAAACGTTTCGGAACCAAACTCCAGTCTTTCGGGTTAGCATGCGAGCGCTCTATCCCCTTGCCACACCATCCCATAAAGTCAAGCATCACAGGCATGATCGGGTTTTCCCGGTATCGAACCTGTCAGGTCATGACGATATAGCTCTGGTAATGTCTAGTGCACGAGCAGACTTTGATGGTATCGTCAACACTGGTGATGACCGACCTTGAACTCACATCCCGCTTATCTTGCATGAAAAAACTGGGAGATAATGTAGACCGGTGGAAGACTCGGCGCTTATATTAAGCACACGTCACACCCGCGTTAAGTGATTGTAATTTAGATACCGCTGGTAATGGGTAGAAAATAGAAGAGTTGCTGTTTGAAAGGTCTTGTTTTAACGTGTAATATACTAAGTTCCAGAACGTATTAGATGTAGCCTACGTGTAAAGCTGTTTCATGTATACGAATGTTTACATTTAAACCTGTATGTTAGGAGATGGCAGAACGGAAGGGCTGTAAATGTAAAGCTGTTTCATAAATACACGTATTTTCATCAACTGATAAGCGGTTGTAAAATGAAGACTCAATATAGGGGTGGCGGGGAGAGGTATTCTTGGTTAACATCGTGCAATTTTAGCCCATTTCACCCCCGTACCAAGCACTTTTGTTTGTCTTCGTCGCAAAATGGCATTGCCAACCACAACCATCATCATGTTTTCCTGTTCGTGTCCAAGACACTGGAGGCAGATGAAGTAGTGTTAATCTGTTTCAGTGACCTCTGCATATGAAGGGATAATGCGGTTAGTAATATGCCCAGGCCGCCTTAATTTTCCCTAATGTGAGTTAGGTACCCATCAGGGCTGGGTAGACTCAAGAAAGTTCTACTGACTTGAACCCGGATTCGAACTCGAGAACTTTGGTTAACAGTCTAGCGTCTTATCGCTAGGTCTCGCCGTCCTAGCTTATCTCATTCCTTCATATAACTAAGTTAAATAATGTTTCTTGTCCTTAAAAATAATCTAAAATATCATACAAAGTCAGATTTCTAAATCCCATACAACCGACCAACCTAGTACATCTGCACTTACTCCTCCCCCACTCCCTATGAAATGTGACTTCATTTAATTATAACCCCTCAGGTCTGATCCAGTTTGACTCGTAAATCCATCTTTTTCATTCCTTGCCCGACCATCCTGTATTGTCTACCGCATGAATTTTACCTCCGACGCTGAAAAATGATGCGGAGGTTGTAATTAGTTCTCTAGCCTTCTGCTGTAACTATCGTCTGCTTCAACTATCGTCTGCTGTAACTATAGTCTGCTGTAACTATCGTCTGCTGTAACTATCGCCTGCTGTAACTATCGCCTGCTGTAACTATCGCCTGCTGTAACTATCGCCTGCTGTAACTATCGCCTGCTGTAACTATCGCCTGCTGTAACTATCGCCTGCTGTAACTATCGTCTGCTGTAACTATCGCCTGCTGTAACTATCGCCTGCTGTAACTATCGCCTGCTGTAACTATCGTCTGCTGTAACTATCGACTGCTGTAACTATCGCCTGCTGTAACTATCGTCTGCTGTAACTATCGTCTGCTGTAACTATCGTCTGCTGTAACTATCGTCTGCTGTAACTATCGTCTGCTGTAACTATCGTCTGCTGTAACTATCGTCTGCTGTAACTATCGTCTGCTGTAACTATCGCCTGCTGTAACTATCGTCTGCTGTAACTATCGTCTGCTGTAACTATCGTCTGCTGTAACTATCGCCTGCTGTAACTATCGTCTGCTGTAACTATCGCCTGCTGTAACTATCGCCTGCTGTAACTATCGCCTGCTGTAACTATCGTCTGCTGTAACTATCGACTGCTGTAACTATCGCCTGCTGTAACTATCGTCTGCTGTAACTATCGTCTGCTGTAACTATCGTCTGCTGTAACTATCGTCTGCTGTAACTATCGTCTGCTGTAACTATCGTCTGCTGTAACTATCGTCTGCTGTAACTATCGTCTGCTGTAACTATCGCCTGCTGTAACTATCGCCTGCTGTAACTATCGTCTGCTGTAACTATCGTCTGCTGTAACTATCGTCTGCTGTAACTATCGTCTGCTGTAACTATCGACTGCTGTAACTATCGACTGCTGTAACTATCGACTGCTGTAACTATCGCCTGATGTAACTATCGCCTGATGTAACTATCGCCTGATGTAACTATCGTTTGCTGTAACTACCGTCTGCTTCTGTCTGCAGGAGTGTCTGGACCTGAGTGATGAGGTGACGGAGACGGTGACTGAGCCAGACTTCATGCCCAACACCTCTGTCAATGGCACAGGTAAGTGTTGTACTATCTAGATGTTGGCAGCAGACTTTAATTACAGAAACTTGGACGTACGGCCAAGTTAAATGGATTTGTTTGCTTGATCTGGCTGTTGTATGTAGGGTTTCTTTCATAGTTATTTCTCCTGGGGAGGGACACAAGCTAACGTATAAATACATATAGAAATATTTTTTTTTAAATTTCGTCCGGAGAAGAGAGCTGATCTGAAATAGACTGTTTCCCCGGTCATTAACCCACCCCCCCCCACCACCCCCATCCAAGATCAAATAGCCCGTGGTAACGACTTAACTCTCGAGAACACTTACCATAACTGTTATTGGTAAAGTGGGATCCAGGCAATCTTATCCAATACTTGATACTGGCTGACACAGCACTAAATAAATCACATTTATTACACGGTTCGTATTCTATAGAACAGGCTAGCCCCAGCATGACCCTTCGACTAGTGTTAACTGTAATGGTTTGATTAGGTTTAGGGTCAGTGTAATCATGTTTAATTTTTTTGGTGCTGTTTGAATATATAGTATTATAGAAAGGGGATTTTTTTCAGATGATTGAATGATTGATTGGTAGGTAGGTAGGTAGATAGATAGATAGATAGATAGATAGATAGATAGATAGATAGATAGATAGATAGATAGATAGATAGATAGATAGATAGATAGATAGATAGATAGATAGATAGATAGATAGATAGATAGATAGATAGATAGATAGATAGATAGATAGATAGATAGATAGATAGATAGATAGATAGATAGATAGATAGATAGATAGATAGATAGATAGATAGATAGATAGATAGATAGATAAATTAGTGCTGTCGGTTTTAAGCACCCGTTGCATCTCCTTTCTCATTGCCTACGCACGTACTGTTTTTTTTTTATCTTCTTTTAATATTATCACCTGTATACATATGTAAATCTATTGAACACCTGCATATATTTATCTATAATATATCCCCAGGTGCCCAGACTCGACATAAAGCCAAAGATGGGGCGGTCAAGCCACACCGGGATAAAAATAGCCAATCGAGCGATAACTCGAGCGAGCTAGCGGCCCCACCCCGGGCCACTAAGGGCGGGGATATCTTAGACTCAACGCCCAGGATAACTCACAGTACCTCGCCGATAAACTCCGGCCGCTCCCAGATAACGGCCGGCAAAAACGACCGGTCCCAACCGGTCACGTCCACGCCGGTGATCTCCGGTTCGGCACCAATGACATCAGAGGCGTCACTTTCGCAGCTGACGCCATCTTTACATATGTCGCCTGTGACTCCGGTGGTTCCGCCCGGCGTGAAGACGCCAGCGGGTGATCGTGACCTCGGGAGCCAAGGGACGAAATCTAATAGCGAGGGCACAAAGGGAAATAACTCAAGATGTTCTGATGATGGATCTAGCAGTGGAGTTCACTCCCCTAGAACAAAGGTAAGAAAACATTTGATGCTTCTACGCTGTTTTTTTTTTTTTTTTTTGTAAGAGGTCTGAATACTAACTATTAAATTTTTTATTTTATTTATTTGACTATTCATAACTCATTAGGTAGTTTAGTAGTAGCTATTTGTATTAATGTTTTAATTATTTATTATAATTTCTACTACAAATTTTAACAAAAATTAGTAAAAATAACCCACCTCGGATGATTCAAATTTTAGTTCTTGGTAAGTTAACAGGAAAGTTACTTTAATTTAATAGACATGCATATGGTACTGCTTGTCTATATTGTCTAGTACCAAGACAGTTTTAACACTCAAGGCAGTTTTTATCGTCAAGACGTTAAAAACCCTTTAAGCAATTGTATCAAACATGTGAAGCCACCACCCCTATACACAATGGCCTTAAAACACTTCTTTGTTATTCTTGTGTCACACAGTTAAATTGTTCAAATCACGTGCCTGCATGTCAAACAAGTGCCCATTTATTACACACGTGACTTAATACCCAAGTGACCCGCATACATAGTAATACCAAATGATCCACGTGACCTACCACTTATCCACGTGACCTACCACTTATCCACGTGACCTACCACTTATCCACGTGACCTAGCACTTAATCACGTGACCTAGCACTTACCAAGTGACCTACCACTTATCCACGTGACCTACCACTTATCCACGTGACCTACCACTTATCCACGTGACCTACCACTTATCCACGTGACCTAGCACTTAATCACGTGACCTAGCACTTACCAAGTGACCTACCACTTATCCACGTGACCTACCACTTATCCACGTGACCTACCACTTATCCACGTGACCTACCACTTATCCACGTGACCTACCACTTATCCACGTGACCTACCACTTATCCACGTGACCTAGCACTTAATCACGTGACCTAGCACTTATCCACGTGACTTAGCACTTATCCACGTGACCTAGCACTTATCCACGTGACCTACCACTTATCCACGTGACCTACCACTTATCCACGTGACCTACCACTTATCCACGTGACCTACCACTTATCCACGTGACCTACCACTTATCCGCGTGACCTACCACTTAATCACGTGACCTAGCACTTATCCACGTGACCTACCACTTATCCACGTGACCTACCACTTATACACGTGACCTACCACTTATACACGTGACCTACCACTTATACACGTGACCTACCACTTATACACGTGACTTACATTATATCAACGTGACCCACCTAGTTACTATATGACCTACATACCACTAACGTGACCCAAATATTGTCCACGTGATCCACATACCAAGAACGTGACCCACCTAGTAGTCACGTGACCTATCTAGTACCCACGTGATCTACATATCCACATTACCCACTTAGTACCCCCATGACCTAACGTGACCAAAATATTACCCACGTGATCCACATACGACTAACGTGACCAGCGTATTTTCCACGTTACCCACCTATCACTGACAAAACCCACCCAAAATTAACTTAAATCGTCCTTGCCGCTAATTAGTACAGATGACCGCACGTGACAGAGATGGACAAGTTTGTCCTATCCCACTGGGCTAGTCCATGCTGTGTACTAGTACATCCCGTGTTCTGCTCAGTCGAAATTCTTAAGGGAAGGTGCTAACAGATAGCTCATAGGTTGCTGATAGTTTGTGTCCTGACTAGTTGTAGTGGGGGGGGGGGGGGGGGGGGGTCGACGATTCTGCCTTGAAAATTGAAATCTGCTTCCAAACCATGGGTTATACCATCTTCCGGCTTGCTAGTAGTTTTTTATTGTGTTGATTTTACTTGATGCGCTTTGATTTTTTTTTTTTTTAAAAGCTGTAATTTGTCATTTGTATTTGAATAGTATGATACAAGGGACTTTCGTGTAGTAGTTTATTGAACTACTGATGGTCTGCTTGCGTTTCCTACACATACATTCCCGTACTCATACACATACGCTTATACATACATACATAAACACATACGTACACACACAAACACATACTTACACACACGCACATACATACACACGCACATACATACACACGCACATACATACACACGCACATACATACACACGCACATACATACACACGCACATACATACACACGCACATACATACACATACACGCATATACACACTTGCACACACATACACACTTGCACACACATACACACACATAAATGCTCACACTTACATACTCATACATACACATACACTTATATACTCACACATACACACACAACAGACAACACACAACACATATACACACATACACACAACACACACACATACAACACACATACAATACACATATACAACATACAACACACACATATACAACACACACAACATACATACACACATACATACAACATACATACACACATACACAGGCACACCCCCCCCCCCCCCCTAGCAGTGAGCAGCCATGAATATTTGATCTCATACCGCGGGTTAGCAACACGCGTGTGTGAACCCACATCACGACGGCCTCACGCTAGAGCAGGAGCAGTGGGGGGGGGGGGGTATGTGTGAGGGGGGGGGGGGGTGAGAGATTAGCCACCAGCAAGTCACTGGGTGCTAACCTGCAATAAAAAGTATCCTCTGCTGTGTCGAAGTGGGAGTGTGCCGCAACGACCTTGCTCGCTTATCAGTACGACACGGTAGTTAGATGAAATATCAAGATAAATGCATGCTGGTTAATTTTTAATATATTTGCTAAACTGCTCATTATAAATTGACGCTATTTGAATTTTGTTTTAAATGTCTAAAGACATAAAAGATTTATATTTTACGTTGATTAGTAGATGACGTGCTATTGTTAGTAATTAGTGATCCTACCCACATGTATTCGGTCAAATATTCGTATGGTATAAAAATGGTATAACTATCTTGTTAAAGCTAGGCGTATAAAATCTCGTCTTGGAGATCTCTTGAATTTCTGTAATTAAGGTCTGATTTTTGTATAGGAATGCATTGCTGGCTTATACTTTTTCACAGTTCTAAACTGTGTACTTTACTTCATTCGGAACTACCGTACTTTAACAAAATACTAATACGCGCGCGAATGCTAACCCTTTTTGGTGCTGACTACAAAGTCTACTCATTAGCCTTGGTAAAAAAATGTTTTTCATCTCCGCCTTCATTAACCGCAATCTAATATGGTACACTAATTGTTTTAGAGGTTAACAATAATAACTTGCTACACTTCATCTTCGGTATAGGTTTCCTTTTGGCTACATGAATGTTGTCATCACTCATAGCATTACGTTTAAAGCTCAGCTTTATGAAGACATGGGATTTCGTATGAGGTTGAAACGTAGCATACAAGTGGGAGTACATTCTTGGGTGCGCTAGCATAGTGATGGGATAGTCAAAGATGTGAGGGTGGGGATATGTGAGAGGGGTGGGGCAGAGGTGAGGGAGGGGAGGTGTGGGTTGATGGGTGGGATCATCCGTATCAGATCGTTCACACCCATGATATAGTGTACAACTGCTGAGCGAGAGGGTGATGGGTTCAGTGTTCATTTCTTTATGGTTATACAAGTAGGCCTACTGGGTGTTGATGTTAGTTCAACTTTAATCACATGTTAAATCAAGTTTTCAAAATGCAATGTTATTACCACCTTAAACGGTAAGATTCAGTGTATATTATTTCTTTACTCGATTTGTCTTGTCTATTTCACTTTTATTCTACTTCTTAAAAAAATGTTCTTTTGATATTCTATAAGTAAACAATAAACAATACATTCAACTTGGCAGGAGTCTTTACACGGTTAGCCAATGTAATGCATCTATCACGGTCACGTGACCGACTGTCTGCCTACACTCAAAGACTTGAAAACATACCAGTATCACATTCCACATCCGGCAACAGTATTCCAGCACTCAAATGGCAATCCTTTAGGCCTTATTTATATAACAAAAAATGTTTGTGTTTTAGCACTGCTGCTGGGTTTAAAGGTGTACTGTTACATGCCAGGGATACGGGCCAGTGGTTTTGTCACTACCTCCCCCCTCCCACTCGCCTGTTGTGTAACCCGTCACGCATACGGTTATGTGGGATACGGGTTTATAAATTGTCTGCCCTTGAGATGGTTGCGATATATGCTGCCATTAAAATAGGTTTGCTAGTGCTGTATTGGGTGCTGTCTTTACCCATGTCTCCGGCCACTGAGTCGTGGTATGACTTTGTGTCAGTTTTATCTCCACATGTACACGGCTGTTTGTCTTACACCTTCTATACAGACGTTATGGAAGTCAATTGTGGTGCCCCAATGACCCTCCTGGGGTTATGGGATAGAGCCACCATATGACCATACTAGTTTACAATATCCCAACATAGATATAATGGAAGGTAATATTCAAACAGATATAACGGAAAGTAATATCCAAACATAGATATAATGGAAGGTAATATTCAAACATAGATATAACGGAAAGTAGTATCCAAACATAGACATAGTGGCAGTTTATACATTGAATGTAAACATGGCTTTTTTGTTTTAAAACAAAAGTGGTTGTATATCTATATCTTGGGTAGGACCATACATTATTCTGTTTTCCTGCGTAGTTCATCATCATAATCATTCCTTTAGACACATCGAGGAGCATAGGGACGCAACCACACCTCTCCACTGTACTCGGTTTTGGGATATTCCTCCATGTTGGGTCCACGACATACCGGCTGCTTTTCCCTAACTACTTTCTTTCATCAGAAACTATACATACTTGGTAGGACTTTATCAGAAAACATACACATGTGGTAGGACTTTGTCAGAAAAATATACGCATGTGGTATGACTTTATCAGAATATATATGTGTGGTGGGACTTTGTGAGCTATCTGTTTCTTCAGACACTTGGCCACTTAATTTGTTTGCGCTTGCTCTATAGACTTGTTGACGTACTGGGTTATTTCAGCCACAGACAGGCACAGGTTCATAACTCTTAGAAAAGACATGAGTCAGACGGGTTCCTAGCCCACCACACCACAGCAACTAATGGTCCAAGTGTTTACGATTCTGGCCTTATGCACGGTTGGCGGGCGATTTGGTGCCCTGTGGTGGGTTCGGATCCCTTCTGACTAGAAAGACTCTGTCCTATGTAGTACTATATTATGTACTTGTGTTTACATTACACGTTGAAATAACATGTCAACATGCCTATTTCATTGGTTTCAGATTCAAACATCGGTGAAAGTTCCGATAAATCCTAACATGAATCGCTCTAATACACAACTACATCTTATTTTGTTAGTTTTTTTGTTATAGTATATAGCTCCATAGCTTTGAGCTAAGCTGGTAAGACTGAGCTGAGCTCCTACCGACGAGCTAAGCTGCTAATAGAGACAAACGCTCCTCGCTGTTAATCTAAATGCAGTTATGTAATCGACAAAGCTTTTGTATTTGATTAATTTATCTTTTTTAATCCCTCGTTTTAACTGCTGAACATATTCAGTTGTAGGTTATTTTAGTTGTCTATAATGCATGTTATATTTTCATAACCTCGTTGTCTATAACACGTTTCTTGAAGTATGGAGCTGCGCTTAACTCTTCTATGGTCGACTATGCTAAGCCATAAAGCTAGTCCCTGAACTACAAATAACATGCTCAACTTATTGATCTCTGCTGAAATCCTTTATTCCCCACACCCCCCACTATAAATTATTGATCTGATTAGCTTTGTTTATTCTTTACTACAACCTATTTTTAACCATTGTCAGCCGACTGGTTGGTTAGGTGGGGAGAGTGGGGGAGTGGCTTTGTTTTAACTGAGACAGGGAAACATAATCGGCTGGCAAGAGTTAATTATATTAGAGCTTAACTAGCATGGGGCAGGAGAAACTAAGGCGCGACCTCCGAAGTATGTTAAGGAGAAATAATTGGACCATAACACACATTCGCATAATATGCATGTTGGCAGAAACACGTATTTCCGTCAAAATATATCAAGGACAAAAATTTAAAATATCAGGACAAAACATTTGTGAACAAAATATATCAAGGACAAAATATTTCCGTCAATATTTCAGGACAAAAGAACCGATGTCTGAGATAGATAGCTATCTCAGGACAATATAATTTGAACAATATATCTGAAATACAAAGGCAATAATCTAACCTGTTGGATCACCAGAATTTAAGAACCGCTTATGTCCACAGACACATAGTACATAGTTTTAAGTAGTGTCTTATCATGTCCTTCCCCCCATACTAAAATATAAGAACCGCCGATGTCCATATAGACACTTAGTACATAGTCTTAAGTAGTCGTGTTACTGTTTCCTTATGATGGCCCTCAAACCAAAACATAAGAACCGCTGAAGTCCCCAGACACACATTGCATCATTTGATGAGTCGTGTTGGTATGTTTCCTTACGATGGCCCACAAAGCAAAATATGAGGACCGTTGATGTCTACAGACATAGACACATATTTCATAGTTTGAAGCAGTCGTGTTGGTATGTTACCTTATGATGGCCCACAAATCAAAATATGAGGACCGTTAATGTCTACAGACATAGACACATATTTCATAGTTTGAAGCAGTCGTGTTACTGGGTTATCTTGTAGGCGTTTGAGACAGCTTTGTGAAATGTTTTATACCCCATAACACTTGGCGCATATGTTAATTAGCGCATCTCATTACGTACCAGCTTGTCGCCCGTGTCTTAATTAGGAGGGGCCACGTTAATTCACGTGTCTGATGAAAATAGGAAACGGTGCTTTAGATTTGAAGTACTAGCCAAAAACGTGTGCATTAAACGTATAGACTGAGTGAATGTTTTTAACAGCAGTTGTCTATACTAAGAGTAGTAAGAGCTACCCATAATAACTAGCTGTAGTCAATATAGTTTAGATGTAATTCATGAAACGTTCATAGCAAAACAGGTTAGAGCACAGGCTGATTTATGGCCGTTTGTTAATTGTACGTTGTCAAAAGGCAGCTAGCTTCTGGGTTGTATGGATAATACAAACAGTTTTGGGTTGGCTATTTAAAAATAATGCTATACATAAAAGACTTCAGTCCTGTGTTTGTAATAAGATGATGTGATGCATGCAAGGACGTGGCTTAATTTTTCTGTATTGTTGCTATACCGATGACGGAAGGAATCAAGGAATGACACACTACATGGCGGCTTATATTATAGATATGCCGTATGTGTGATATACTGCATTGTTGTATAATTATATATTTTACAACAGTTATATGAGAGTGGGTGGTCTATGAATATATTACATGGGGTAAATGTCAGTAAAAAAAATGTCTACTTTATGTTACACTGTATGTGAGCAGTCTTTTTGAAGTATCTCATGAATGCACGTGCGCCTTCTCCACAGACGGTAGTACCTGAGAGTCCACCCACTGCCAGAAATGCGCTCTCGTCTGCCGTGCAGGTACATCCTGTAGGCCCTTCCAGGCTGTCTGCAATTAGGCAGGTGAGTGGCTGTTATATACCCGCTCGTGTTTGTTTTCATGTTGACACGTTTTACCTTTAGACCACGCTGAAGAGATCTGTGTGGCAAAAATTAGGGTGGAAAATACCTGATTAGCACTGTGTAAAACGTTGAAAATAACTCGCGTTTTGATTGGCTTTTTTAAACTATACTTGCAAATGTATTTGTTTGACATCTGATGGGTTCAACCTGTTTTATTTCTTGCCTTAATGCCAGCTTTAAGTTTTTAGTTCTGTTATATTATAAAAATACAGGGTGGTTCATTATTAAAGTTATTTTCCCAGTTATTAGTAGTATTAAATACGTGTACGGTATTCAATGCTACCTTCAGATTTATCTTTGGTTGGTGGGGGAGGGGGGGGGGACTGCCCTTTCCTAGAGCCTTTCACCCACCCCCCTCCCTGACTAATAGAAAAATTATGTATGTACTTTCAAGTTCCACCCACCACCCCCATTTCTGCCCCGCACCGTGGTAAAAATGTCTTGAAAGAAACCCTGATTAAGCTTTCATACTTATTAACATGTTCGTGCTTTTGTTTTAAACTTCTAAAACTTCAGAGTAAGGCGTCCAGTCCAGATAAATGCCAGTTCTTTAGTCCATTGGGTGGCATAGTATTATTGTAACTTTAAACAGTCACTGCTAGTTTTGCGATACGATCGAATTGTTGAAGGCTAACAACGAAGATTGCCTGTTGCGTAATGTGTGCACTATCCCAAATCACATAAACAATGATCTTTAATTTAAAACATTATCTCCTACTAGTACAGGCTTTATATCTGGGTTTCTCCTTTGTGTTTATACTGTGTGATTCTTCAAGTAGTGATCGTATGGCACGCTCCACGCCGACTAGGAAAACGCGATAATAAAATACTCACCACAACGATAGAACACAACTAAGATAAGCCATAGAATCCCTGGTGGTATTTTAAGTACAGATAAAAGTCACCGTCGACTATGTATTTGTAGATACAGTATCTTATCTGTAGTACTGGCTCCCGGTGGGGGGGGGGGGTGGAGAGAACATCAATGAATGAGGAAGTGGTGGGAGAATTTAAAGAATGATTTCCTTGACCCCGACAGGTGCTGCTAGAGCTCACGTGCAGGTAGAGTTTAGTGTCAGCATTGGCATCTAGAACTGTTGGGTTCTAGAACTGTAGGGCTCTAGATAGCTGTACTTTTTATGGGGGCTCTAGACAGCTGTAGGTACTTGATGTAGGGCTCTAGACCGTAGCTACTTGGTGTGGGGCTCTAGACAGGTGCACTTGGTGTGGGGCTCTAGACAGGTGCACTTGGTGTGGGGCTCTAGACCGTAGCTACTTGGTGTGGGGCTCTAGACAGGTGCACTTGGTGTGGGGCTCTAGACAGGTGCCCTTGGTGTGGGGCTCTAGACAGGTGCACTTGGTGTGGGGCTCTAGACAGGTGCCCTTGGTGTGGGGCTCTAGACAGGTGCACTTGGTGTGGGGCTCTAGACAGGTGCCCTTGGTGTGGGGCTCTAGACAGGTGCCCTTGGTGTGGGGCTCTAGACAGATGCACTTGGTGTGGGGCTCTAGACAGGTGCACTTGGTGTGGGGCTCTAGACAGGTGCACTTGGTGTGGGGCTCTAGACAGGTGCACTTGGTGTGGGGCTCTAGACCTGTAGGTACTTCGTGTGGGGCTCTAGACCTGTAGGTACATGGTGTGGGGCTCTAGACCTGTTGGTACATGGTGTGGGGCTCTAGATAGCTGTACATGGTGTGGGGCTCTAGACATGTAGGTACATGGTGTGGGGCTCTAGATAGCTGTACATGGTGTGGGGCTCTAGACCTGTAGGTACATGGTGTGGGGCTCTAGACCTGTAGGTACATGGTGTGGGGCTCTAGACCTGTTGGTACATGGTGTGGGGCTCTAGATAGCTGTACATGGTGTGGGGCTCTAGACCTGTAGGTACATGGTGTGGGGCTCTAGATAGCTGTACATGGTGTGGGGCTCTAGACTTGTAGGTACATGGTGTGGGGCTCTAGACCTGTAGGTACATGGTGTGGGGCTCTAGACCTGTAGGTACATGGTGTGGAGCTCTAGACCTGTAGGTACATGGTGTGGGGCTCTAGACCTGTAGGTACATGGTGTGCGGCTCTAGACCTGTAGGTACATGGTGTGCGGCTCTAGACCTGTAGGTACATGGTGTGGGGCTCTAGATAGCTGTACATGGGGTGGGGCTCTAGATAGCTGTACATGGTGTGGGGCTCTAGATAGCTGTACATGGTGTGGGGCTCTAGACCTGTAGGTACATGGTGTGGGGCTCTAGACCTGTAGGTACATGGTGTGGGGCTCTAGACCTGTTGGTACATGGTGTGGGGCTCTAGATAGCTGTACATGGTGTGGGGCTCTAGACCTGTAGGTACATGGTGTGGGGCTCTAGATAGCTGTACATGGTGTGGGGCTCTAGACCTGTAGGTACATGGTGTGGGGCTCTAGACCTGTAGGTACATGGTGTGGGGCTCTAGACCTGTAGGTACATGGTGTGGAGCTCTAGACCTGTAGGTACATGGTGTGGGGCTCTAGACCTGTAGGTACATGGTGTGCGGCTCTAGACCTGTAGGTACATGGTGTGGGGCTCTAGATAGCTGTACATGGGGTGGGGCTCTAGATAGCTGTACATGGTGTGGGGCTCTAGATAGCTGTACATGGTGTGGGGCTCTAGATAGCTGTACATGGTGTTTGGCTCTAGATAGCTGTACATGGTGTGGGGCTCTAGATAGCTGTACATGGGGTGGGGCTCTAGACCTGTAGGTACATGGTGTGGGGCTCTAGACCTGTAGGTACATGGTGTGCGGCTCTAGACCTGTAGGTACATGGTGTGGAGCTCTAGATAGCTGTACATGGTGTGGGGCTCTAGATAGCTGTACATGGTGTGGGGCTCTAGATAGCTGTACATGGTGTGGGGCTCTAGATAGCTGTACATGGTGTGGGGCTCTAGATAGCTGTACATGGGGTGGGGCTCTAGACCTGTAGGTACATGGTGTGGGGCTCTAGACCGATAGGTACATGGTGTGGGGCTCTAGACCTGTAGGTACATGGTGTGGGGCTCTAGACCTGTAGGTACATGGTGTGGGGCTCTAGACCTGTAGGTACATGGTGTGCGGCTCTAGACCTGTAGGTACATGGTGTGGAGCTCTAGATAGCTGTACATGGTGTGGGGCTCTAGATAGCTGTACATGGTGTGGGGCTCTAGATAGCTGTACATGGTGTGGGGCTCTAGATAGCTGTACATGGTGTGGGGCTCTAGATAGCTGTACATGGGGTGGGGCTCTAGACCTGTAGGTACATGGTGTGGGGCTCTAGACCGGTAGGTACATGGTGTGGGGCTCTAGACCTGTAGGTACATGGTGTGGGGCTCTAGACCTGTAGGTACATGGTGTGGGGCTCTAGACCTGTAGGTACTTCGTGTGGGGCTCTAGACCTGTAGGTACTTCGTGTGGGGCTCTAGACTTGTAGGTACTTCGTGTGGGGCTCTAGACCTGTAGGTACATGGTGTGGGGCTCTAGACCTGTAGGTACTTCGTGTGGGGCTCTAGACTTGTAGGTACTTCGTGTGGGGCTCTAGACCTGTAGGTACATGGTGTGGGGCTCTAGACCTGTTGGTACATGGTGTGGGGCTCTAGATAGCTGTACATGGTGTGGGGCTCTAGACATGTAGGTACATGGTGTGGGGCTCTAGATAGCTGTACATGGTGTGGGGCTCTAGACCTGTAGGTACATGGTGTGGGGCTCTAGACCTGTAGGTACATGGTGTGGGGCTCTAGACCTGTTGGTACATGGTGTGGGGCTCTAGATAGCTGTACATGGTGTGGGGCTCTAGACCTGTAGGTACATGGTGTGGGGCTCTAGATAGCTGTACATGGTGTGGGGCTCTAGACTTGTAGGTACATGGTGTGGGGCTCTAGACCTGTAGGTACATGGTGTGGGGCTCTAGACCTGTAGGTACATGGTGTGGAGCTCTAGACCTGTAGGTACATGGTGTGGGGCTCTAGACCTGTAGGTACATGGTGTGCGGCTCTATACCTGTAGGTACATGGTGTGCGGCTCTAGACCTGTAGGTACATGGTGTGGGGCTCTAGATAGCTGTACATGGGGTGGGGCTCTAGATAGCTGTACATGGTGTGGGGCTCTAGATAGCTGTACATGGTGTGGGGCTCTAGACCTGTAGGTACATGGTGTGGGGCTCTAGACCTGTAGGTACATGGTGTGGGGCTCTAGACCTGTTGGTACATGGTGTGGGGCTCTAGATAGCTGTACATGGTGTGGGGCTCTAGACCTGTAGGTACATGGTGTGGGGCTCTAGATAGCTGTACATGGTGTGGGGCTCTAGACCTGTAGGTACATGGTGTGGGGCTCTAGACCTGTAGGTACATGGTGTGGGGCTCTAGACCTGTAGGTACATGGTGTGGAGCTCTAGACCTGTAGGTACATGGTGTGGGGCTCTAGACCTGTAGGTACATGGTGTGCGGCTCTAGACCTGTAGGTACATGGTGTGGGGCTCTAGATAGCTGTACATGGGGTGGGGCTCTAGATAGCTGTACATGGTGTGGGGCTCTAGATAGCTGTACATGGTGTGGGGCTCTAGATAGCTGTACATGGTGTTTGGCTCTAGATAGCTGTACATGGTGTGGGGCTCTAGATAGCTGTACATGGGGTGGGGCTCTAGACCTGTAGGTACATGGTGTGGGGCTCTAGACCTGTAGGTACATGGTGTGCGGCTCTAGACCTGTAGGTACATGGTGTGGAGCTCTAGATAGCTGTACATGGTGTGGGGCTCTAGATAGCTGTACATGGTGTGGGGCTCTAGATAGCTGTACATGGTGTGGGGCTCTAGATAGCTGTACATGGTGTGGGGCTCTAGATAGCTGTACATGGGGTGGGGCTCTAGACCTGTAGGTACATGGTGTGGGGCTCTAGACCGATAGGTACATGGTGTGGGGCTCTAGACCTGTAGGTACATGGTG